ATTTTAAATACGTTTTATGGGGTAGTTCCGTAGTTGTCATTATGGGGTGGTTGTGAATCTTCAAAATAAGTTATTTGGACAAAAAAATTTGATTTTGACGCTAATAATAGGAGTGGTTGTTGGTGTTGTTTGGATTCTCCTATTCGTCTGTTTTGTATTTGTTTAAGTAGTTACTAGTCCGGTACCCGCGCCTTGCGCGGGATTTAGTTTTTGTTAATAATTTATTATTACAAAACTGTTAGTCATTAAAATATGATTTAGGTTTTTAAATAGGTATTCTTTTAATCTAAATTAAAACTAAAATCATACAATTAAAGTAGACACATGTCTAATGTATTTTTCGTACGGATATAATTAATCATTTCACTATGAGCGTTTTAGGTTGTTACGACATGTAAATGATATTACAAATTAGAAATATGATACCACTTATACCATATTAATAATTTTTAATTTATTAATAAAATTTTAGATCAAATTTTAGAAATCAATATTTATTTATTCTTTTCATTATTAAATTAAAAATTTGATTTAGACATTGGTTGGGATCGGGTGAAGATTTTTCTTCTCAAGAAGTTGTGTGGTAGCATCTATCTCCCGTGCTTGTCTAACTATTGCTTTGATTTCATGGATCTACCACTTTCAACTCGAAACGAATCAAAAACATTAATTATTTTTATGTCAAAGTCTGATACGCTTTAAACCATCGCCACATGAAAAAGTTTGNAGTATTTTATATGATTTCAAATGCATATGACAAAATTCAAAATATATATTACGAATATACCTAGTAGATCTTCACCATAGGTATTTTTCATTATATAAAAAAAGCAAAAAAAAAGAAGTCAAAGATTACAAATTAACCATGTGGTTTATGATAACTCAATGGTTTAGATATATTGTGTTTGTTATGATTGCTTTGATTCGCTTTGTCGATTTTTTGTATTTTTTTGTTCACTTTGGAAATATTTTGTTGAAACTAACTGAAACTAACCGAATAAAACTATGATTCGGTTCAGTTCGATTATGGAAAATTTTGGTTCGTATGTAATGTTGCCGAATAAAAACTAAAGTACTAACTCGATTTGATTTTTAGTAAAAAGTTTTGGGTAATTGTGGATAGTTCAATTAATTTTGTCAATTCTGGTTAGTTTTAGTTAGTTTATACTGGTTGGGGTTCAACAAANTTTTAATGGAAGTCAAATTATAATTGTTCACCGTTTATTTCAACGAACATGTTTAAGTAACCAACAAATGCTTAATAATGCTTGCAATTAATATTTGTCTTCTACGGTAACTGAAGTATTTTGGTTGAAAAATTACACACACATGTGACAAACACGCCGTTGAATATCTTATTATATATGATCCACATATTATAGTAGGATCCCTTCGGAATCATTATATTAATAAGATAGTTGACCCAAAAAAAACAAAAAAGATAATTTAAAAATGCTTTGATGTTTCTCAAATTCAAGTCTATATTAATGTATGTGAGAAATATTAATCAAGAAAATCAAGGAAAGAACTCAAGTGATGGTAAAATATGGCTTAGAGTAGAGATTATGGTTCTCTCTTGTTAAATAATGAGGAGGGTGTTCAAGGCAACCAACACAAAATGTTTGTCTTGATCTTGGTACTAAAATGGAGCAACTGGAGGAAACATAGCACATACACTTACACAACCAAATCAAAGAAAATTTGCGCGAAATAAATCAAAATCCAAAACACAAATTTTAAGAAACCATCAAGTCTCAACTTGGTTTATGAAAAAAGTCAAGCGTCGTAGCATCTCCATAGCTTACTCACAATTGATATAATGCATTTTTGGCGCATTCTAACCTTTGTTTTGTAGGTTTTTATCGAGTTTTTTGCTTTACTTTGAGTCATTTTAGGTCAAAAGGAGGTTGGAATGGAGGATTGGAACTCACAATGGGATTTGGCGAAAAAGGAGGAAAATTGGATCTTTTTGAAGATTCTGAAGAAAATGAGCACTCGTTCCCGATCGCTAGACCTGGTTCGCATAAGATCCAATTTTGAAAATTTTCATTAAACCTATTTTTGCCACCTAGGGTTTTCCTAATCAATCCCAGCCGCCCCAGACCCTTATTTAAAGATATTTTCGATCTCTTTTCAAGAAAAGCAGAAAATAAT